ATTGTATACTCATTTTAAAAATAATGATTTTTTTAATATGTTAATACAAATAGTTAATAATTATAATTATTAATTAATAATGAATAAAGCAGTTGAGATTTATTAATTAATAAATTAAAGCCAACCATACTTACTAAAGAGAAAAAAAAATCAAAATTTTAGCGATTTTCTATATTAATGATAGTTACAACCCCACACACCCCTCATTATATAATGATATATTATATTATATAATTTAAGTACATGTGACACTGTCATAAAAGTATTTTATAATTATTAATTAATAATGAATAAAGCAGTTGAGATTTATTAATTAATAAATTAAAGCCAACCATACTTACTAAAGAGAAAAAAAATCAAAATTTTAGTGATTTTCTATATTAATGATAGTTACAACCCCACACACCCCTCATTCTACTCAATTTTCATTGATTTAGGTTAGGCCCCTACTTTAAACCAAGCCCTTCTATTTTTTGGGAAAGAAAATTGGCGCAAAACAATAACTTAGATCCTCTCAAATTATTTGAAAGTATATATTGATACCCAACCAAAAAATTGTCAAATATAACTTATAACAAGTATCATACAAATTGTTAATAACGTAAATAATTCAGTTGTAATTTCCTTTCACTGAAAATAAAAAAACTTGAATTCGAATTGAAATTGCATGGTATGCGAGTAGGTGGGATAAAGATGAAGATAATTGCCTCTCATTGTGGTTGTCTCTCATTATGCAATTAAAATTGAAAAAAAAAAATCTAATCCAAATAATAAATTGCAAAAACAACATTAGAGCACAATAGCTACATTCATTTTCATTTGTTACTTGCACTGATTTCTCCCTTTTTTTCTTTTTCTTAGTATAAAGGGTAAAGTTCACTAAGATAGTAATTCAATTTATTTAGAGTCTAAAATATTTTTATTTAATTTAGATATCTACAATTTAAATTTTAAATTGAGCAGGAAAGAGATTTCAGAAAAATAGAGGCCGTACACTTTGTATAGCCTATTATTTTAACGTTAATCACTCTCTCTTATCTCCCCAACTTTACCGTAGAGTGAGGTGGTAACATGGCATGGGGCAAAAAAATTAATGACTTTGACTTCAAAGTGGAAAACAAATACAACAATTGCCCCAAAAAATAGAAAATATATTGAATACAAAAAGAGAAATACATATGTGTATAGTAAGGATTTATTTATATAATATATTTATATAAAATTTTAATAATTTATTTTGTTATTTTTAATTATTGAGATTTATTCATTTATTATTTTTAAAAAATATAATTACATTTTTATCCAAAAAA